GGGAAAACAAGGCACTGTGGGTCAGAAGACAAGGGGGTTGTGGGGGGGAGGAGATCTGGTAGTGGGGGTGTATTACAGACCACTGCACCTCACATCTGCTGGGAGGAGCAGTCAGCTAGATCTGACCGTTCACATAGGTCCTTTCTTATCCTGCATACAGGACCTCCACCTAATGCAGGAGGTATACAGTCCCACTAGGGGAAACACCTTGCTGGACTTGGCGTTTGCTCCAGAGGATGACCTGGTGGGAGATCTGCAGATAGAGGGTAACCTGGGGAATAGTGACCATCGATTGTTAGAATTCACTATCTGGTGGAAGGTGGGGAAGATAACCAGTAGGGCAAAAGTGCTAGACTTCAGAAAGGCCAACTTCAATGAGATCAGGAGATTACTAAGTGAAGCACTGAAGGACAAGAGCATTGGTGAGATGGGAGTCCAGCAAGCATGGTCATTCCTCAAGGGAACGATCCTTCAGGTGCAGAAAAGGACAATCTCATTGCACATAAAGGGGGGAAAGGGGCCAAGAAACCCTTTTGGCTGAACAGGGAAATCCAGGAAAGCCTAGGGGCAAAGAGAGAGGCACACAGGCTGTGGAAGCAGGGGGTAGCCACCAAGGAGTACACCTCCTTGACTCGCACTTGTAGGAAGGCAGTTAGAAAGGCCAAGGCAGCAATGAAACTTAGGCTGGCAACAAAAATTAAAGACAACGTAATTCCTGCTTCAGGTACATAGGGACCAAAAAGAAGGTGCATGGTAACATAGGACCCCTATAGGACAGACTAGGGCAGTTGGTGACAGATAGGAGGGACAAAGCTGAGCTCTTCAATTAGTTTTTTGCTTCTGTATTTCTGAACATAGATCAAAACAAATCTCCCAACTGGGTTTTAGATAAGCACAGCAGGGACACCAGCCCACCAACTGTTAGCGCCAACCTAGTGAAGAGACACTTGGAGGGGCTGGATGTTTTTAAGTCAGCAGGCCCGGATGATCTTCACCTAAGTGTGCCAAAGGAATTGGCCAGTGTCATAGCAGAGCCACTGCCATGGCTGTGAGCACTCGTGGCACTCAGGAGAAGCCCCAGAGGACTGGAAAAGGGTCAATGTGGGCCCTATTTTCAAGAAGGGGAGGAAGGAGGATCCAGGCAACTATAGACCAGACAGTCTCACCTCTATCCTTGGGAAATCCTTCGAAAAAGGATCACACTTGTGGGAGTCCAGCAGGAGAAATAATGCTGAAAGGCAACCAGCACCATGTACGCAAGAGAGAGACCTGGACACCTGAGTTCCATGTGTGTGTGTCTGTCTCAGACACCTGGGTTCTGTGTGCGTGTCTCCAGGATGTTTGGGTTCTGTGTGTGTGCATGACACACACACCTGGGTTGTGTATGTATGTACATGCGAGAGAGAGACACACACACCTGGACATCTGGGTTTTGTTCAAGTACAAGAGACCCAGAGGTCTGGGTTGCATGTCTGTGTGTGCGAGAGACCCAGATGCCCGGGTTCCGTGTGGTGGTTGAGATCTGGACACCTGGGCTGTGCATGCGTGTGTGTGCACAGCTTGGCCTCCCCTGAAGCACTGAGGCCCCTGCAGCAAGGTTTCCCCCGAGGCTGGAGAGCCTGGGCAGAGCCTCACAGAGCAAGGCAGTGCCCAGGCTCTGGGGCCGGGCCAGGCCAGACCAGAGGAGCCAGTCAGGACTGGAGGTTGGATCCCGACTTCCCACTCGGGACGCGTGGGGACAGCAACAAAGACAGGACCAGGAGCCATGGCCTCAAGCTGCAGCTGGGGGAGCCTGAGGCTAGAGCAAAGGAGGCAGGTCCTGGTTGTGAGTGGGGGTCTGGCTGGGAGCCACAGGGAACCCCCGAGACGCCAGGCCAAGCTGGTTTGGATGAAGCCTAGACTCTCCTGGACCCCCTGGCAGCACCGATGTCTTCCCAGCATGCAGTCCCAGCACGCGAGTCCCATCCCTCCACAGGCACCCGTCAGCCCCAGGACGGGGACTTCAAGGAAGTCCCAGCAGCCTCGTGGCCAAGTCCCTCCCTTGGCCTCCCTTCATACACATGAGAGGCCACCCGTCATGTGCGTCTACCCATTAGGCTGCCACAGGATCCATGAAGGCCTATTACCTCTGGGCATCGCCCACAGGACATTACACAGGTCTGCACAGATCAGTCACTGTTATCATCACCATTGTAATAATCATTATTATTACTCCTATCATTAACTGCAATCAGTTTTCCTAATGAACTGCACTGCAACTGATCGCTCCAATTAATTGCACTGCAATTGACTTTCTGATTCATTGCATTAAGTGCTATTGATTACAATCACTTTTTTATATCTGAATAATATAACTGTCTTTAATGGCAGCTCATTATAATTACAATAAATGTTATCCTTTGGGGCAACTCACTGCTGTAACTAATTATTATAACCTCTATGATTAATTACAAATAATTGTTATAACTAATTATAATAAACATTATCATTAACTGCAAATAATTAAAACGACCATTATAATTATTACTATTAATTGCACTGCAATGGATTATCCTGATTAACTGCTACTGATTACAATCAATTATTATGATTGATTAATATAATTGTTAAGTGTAGGTCATCATAACTAATCATAATAACCTGTGTCCTTAGGTGCAACTCATTATAACTAATTATTACAACTGTTATCATTAATTGAAAGTTGTTATAACTATTACAACCATTACTATTAATTGCAACTCATTAGTATGATTAATTACTGTAAGATCAATATTAATCACAATCATTCATTTTCTAATAACTCTACTAATTCTTTGCATGTACATACCATTCGCAGAGCTTTTATCAATTGCTATTCATTATAATTATTCACCATAATTGCCATTAATTATAACAACTACAATTAGTCGTGGTAGCTGCTTTTACCCGTAATTGGTTATTAACATTAATGATGATGATTACCGTGATTAACAGCAATCATTTGTGACAACTATTACTAGAAGTATTAATTACATCACATCATTATGATTTTACAGGTAAGTCTCCAACCCTGTTTTGGCCCCCACAACCGCCAAAGGGGTCTGGGTCACAGTCAGCTGGGCTCTCCCCCCCTGCTTCCTATCTTGGCTCCAGATATTAAATATTTAAATGCAAGCATTAAAATACATATAATTTCTGAAACATACATACACAAACATACAAACATACAAACACAAATTCATATTCGACTTGGGGGGAGGTGGGTAGTGGAGTCCCTCAGGGCTCGGTCCTGGGCCCTGCGCTGTTCAATGTCTTCATCAGCGATCTTGATGTTGGGGTGGAGAGCAACCTGTTTAAATTCGCTGATGACACCAAAATTTGGGGGGAGGTGAGCACGCTAGCAGGGAGAGAGAGATTGCAGAAGGATCTGGATAGGTTACAGGGGTGGGCAGACAGGAACAGGATGCGTTTCAATACGGACAAGTGCAGGGTGCTGCACTTGGGTAGTAGGAACCAGCAGCACACTTATACGATGGGGAGCTCCCTACTTGAGAGCACGGAGGCGGAAAGGGATCTTGGTGTCATTATTGACTCCAAGATGAACATGGGCCGACAATGCGAGGTCATGGTTGGCAGGGCTAACCGGACCTTGTCGTGCATCCACAGGTGCATCTCGAGTAGAGCCAGGGAGGTGATCCTCCCCCTCTATGCGACGCTGGTCAGGCCGCAGCTGGAGTATTGTGTCCAGTTCTGTGCGCCCCATTTCAGGAGGGATGTGGCCAACATGGAGAGGGTCCAGAGGAAGGCCACCCGCATGATCCGGGGACAACAGGGCAGACCCTACAGTGAGAGACTGCGGGACCTGAACCTATTCAGCCTCCACAAGAGAAGGCTGAGGGGGGACCTGGTGACCGTCTATAAACTCACTAGGGGGAACCAGAAGGGTTTGGGGGAGACGCTGTTTCCCCTAGCCCCCACTGGCATAACAAGGAATAATGGGCACAAGTTGATGGAGAGGAGGTACAGATTGGACATCCGAAAAAACTACTTCACAGTCAGGGCGGCTAGGAGCTGGAACCAACTTCCAAGGGAGGGGGTGCTGGCCCCTACCCTGGGGATCTTTAAGAAGAGGCTGGATACTTACCTGGCTGGACTCATTTGAGTCCCGTTTTTGTTTTTAGGGTGAGTGGTTTTGTTTGTGTTTTTGGGTTGTTCTCCCGCCCTGGCGGGGGGGCGGGCTAGAAGATCTATTAGGTCCCTTCCGACCCTGAACCTATGAAACTATGAAACTATGAAACATATGTATCTAGATATAATAGTGCTTATATATGTGTGTGTGCGTGGATGTACATGTGTGTGCATGGATATATGTGGGTATGTACATGTGGATACATGCACATGTGTATATTCACGTGTATATATGTGTACATATGCATGCATATATGTGCATGCATGTATCTGTGTGGCTACAGAAGTTATGTAGTATATAACTGTATATATGTATAATTCATATATATAACTATATATATAGCTATATATAACTAACTATATAATGAACATGAGCCTTCAATGCGATGCTGCAGCTAATAAAGCGACCAAAACACTGACTTGCATCCATAGATGCTTCCCAAGCAAATCCCGGGATGTCATTTTCCCCTTAGTGAGGCCGCAGCCGGAGTACTGCGTCCAGTTTTGGCCCTACAATTCAAAAAGGATGTGGGAAAGTTTGAGAGAGTCCAGAGAAGAGCCACGCGCATGATCAGAGGTCAGGAAAACAAACCTTACGAGAACAGGCTGAGAGCTATGGGACTCTTTAGCCTGGAAAAGTGCAGGCTCAGGGGTGATCTGATGGTCACCTATAAGTTTATCAGGGGTGACCATCAGTATCTGAGGGAACGTTTGTTCACCAGAGCGCCCCAAGGGATGACGAGGTCGAATGGTTATAAACTACTGCAAGACCATCTCAGGCTGGACATAAGGAAGAATTTCTTTACTGTCCGAGCCCCCAAGGTCTGGAATAGCCTGTCATCGGTGGTGGTTCAAGCACCTACATTGAACACCTTCAAGAGAAATTTGGATGCTTATCTTGCTGGGATCCTATGACCCCAGCTGACTTCCTGCCCCTGGGGCAGAGGGCTGGACTCGATCTTCTGAGGTCCCTTCCAGCACTAGTGTCTATGAAATCTATTAAATGTTCATATAATACAAGTTTTACTATATATATCTATATAGTACAACTTGCATAATATATATAGCTATGCACTGTATTATACAAATTATATTATATTAATTATAGTATCCTGCACTCCATAGCTATTTAAACATCTATTTAAAACATGCAAAGCTTTGCAAATGTCCCTGGGCCGCAAGGTCACTGGAGGCCGGCTTGGTGGGCCAGTAGGGGGAGCTCCTGCGTTGATCCTCCCACCTCACCACGCCCATCCTCCTGCCAGACTCCATGCGTCTCCCCAGGGGCGCCTAAGCCCTGGCAGACCCCCCATCGAGCCCCACCGCAGAGTCCGGGGGTAACGTGTGCTGCCACCACCCTGAAAGAGAGAGGGGACCTTCTAGGTCCTGTGTCCTCGGGGAAACACAGGCCTAATAGTCCTACGGGTACTCGACCCAATACAAGCACTTGGGGCACTTCCCCAAGTCGGGGGCCAAAAAGGACAGTCTCCCTTAGTCGGCTGACCCAAGGGGCCTCCTGGGCATAATTAAACCCACCCCTCAGTAAGTCTCCTATGCCAGTCACAAAGGAGAACGGTATCGGTTACAGAGGGTAGGGGTAGAAGAGGGTAAGAGGTAGAGCAATATCAAGGGATTACCACTGACAAAACAGTCTGGCTGAGGTCGCCGTTTGATACGCAAATGCATCGCTGGGAGCTGACTAGCTCTAGAAACACTTACAAGTATCGTGCAGAAGATGGTAGAGATCTGGCTCGGAGATTTCCAGAGAGAGCGTTTCGGTTGGATCAGACTCTCTCCCTGTGTCCTGGTGTTTGGGCCGTGCTGGAAAAATGGCTTCTCTCCCCCTTCTCCTTGGACCAGGTTCCTGTATTGCCTTTCTGGCCTCAGCAGCCCAGGCCAAGAGAAGCCAGCGGTGTTGGCAACTAGCCAACCGATTTAAAAATCATCGCTGGGTACCTGGGCCGAGGAGCAGGGGCTTTTCCCTCCCCCCACTCAGGTGACCAGAGGGCCCACATCCTCGGCACCAGGCTTTTGTCAGGTAGGCAGGAAGGGAAATCCCCCCTCCCTTAGGAATTTGACCCCAGTGTCCCAAGCTGACCAGGACAGGTCTCTGGACAGACACACAGATGCTGGCATTTCTGCCACAGCCGGCACCACTTGAAAAATCCAATATTGCTTTAATTTGGCCTTAAATTAGCAGAGAAAACAATGCATCGCCAAGACTACAGCTCTCCAAGCACCCCCCCGCCCCCCCAGCTAAAATCATGGGGAAGAAGAGGGACCAGGGCACGGGTAACTATGGAAGAAGGAACTTTGGGGAGAGGGGGTAAGCAGGGATCCCAGGGGGCACAGAGCTGGGGAGGGGGCAACTAGGGAGCCTGGGGCAAGGGGGGGCAGGAGCAGCCGTTGTTGCCATCTCCTCTCCCCCTGCCTAAGTCAGGGCCCCGAGATCCATGATCCCTCTCCCCCACAGGGGGTTCAGGACCTCCCCACAGGGCTCAGCACTCCCCACTGGAGTCAGAGCCCCTCCAGTGGGGCTAGCTCAGACACCCCCAGGGTTGGGGGGGCAGAAACACAGGGTTGGGGGCACCAGGAAGGTTCCAAAACCCCCCTGCCCTGGGGTAGATTTGCGGGGAGGAAACATCTTAGTCCAAATTAAAAGCCCCCAGCTGCCTACCCTGCACAGCGCAGGGCAGGGGAACTGTGGGGTGCTACGGGGTGCCCTGGCTGGAGGGCCACAGAAGTCAGCCCAGGCCCTCATGCAAACCGCGGATGCGCCGGGCCAGCTGCATGTCCTTGGGGAAGAGGGTGACACGCTTGGCGTGGATGGCGCACAGGTACGAGTCCTCCAGCAGGTGCACCAGGAAGGCCTCAGCCGCCTAGCAAGGGGCACAACAGGGGAGTCAGCCGTCAGGGGTGGGGCTGGTCCCTGAGGCCCCGCCTCCTGCCCTGACAACCCACAAAGCCCTGCTCCCAGCCTGGACACACCCCACCTAGGCTCTGTCCCCTACTTGGATCCCACCTGTGGCTCCACCCCCTGCACAGAACCCACCCTGAGGCCCTGCCCCCTGCCCTGATAATGCACAAAACCCTGCCCCCTGCCGGATACCTGCCCCGATGTCCCACATTTAGCCCAATCCCCACACACAAACAACCCACCAAGCCTCACCCCCTGCCTAGGCAACAGCCTGTGGCCCTGCCCCCTACCCAGACAGACCCCTGCAGCCCTGCCCCCTGCCTGGACACCCCCCACATAGCCCTGCCCCCAGAACAGACACACCCCAACATCCCCCGCCGCTCCCTGGGCACCCTCCACAAGCATCACCCCTGCCCTCCACACCCCCCAGGGCCTGGACATGCCCCAGGGGTGCCAGCCCCAACACTCACCTCCTGCAGGGCCAGCAAGGCCATAGCCTGCCAGTGGAAATCCACCCCCCGTGTGTAGTTCAGGCAGATCTCCCGCACCTGGGGGGCAAGGGGAGAGAGTCAGAAAAGCTGGCGGGGGGCATGGTTTGGGGGGGGGGGGTGGAAGGACACGAAGGG